GGTCCCTATTCTTAGAGGCCTATAGGCCTAAGGTTGCTATATCGATCTAAGAGCTAGGAAGGGAGAGGGATCCTCCCTTTCTTAGTATCCTACGTAACTAGTACTAATTAGGGTAGGAACATCCTCTAGTAGAGTATCTTATGATCGTTATTACTTAAGGAAGGTTGCTAGAGTCTAGGAATCTAGAGAGAAGTAGTCCTAGAAGGGTAGAGGGGTTAGGTTCGGCTATCTTCCTAATACTACCCCCGGGGTATTATTAGGAAAACACGCCTCGTATAGTTCTATCTAAGGAAACAAGAGCGAAGGAATAAAGTTATAGCAACATTAATCGAAGGTAAAAGCAAAAGCAAAAGATAATAATAAGATAAACTAAGAGCAATAAACGAGAGTATAAACATTAGTAGGAACAGATAATAGGTAAGGACTAAAGGTACAGGGCGGCACTATATTAATAGCGCGGAGAACGATTAATAAGAGTAAGGAAGTAACGTAGTAGAGGCAAGGAAGAGCAAGCAATTATTTAGTCTCGGGATCTAGCTATAATTCTAGGCGGTCTTCGTCGCTAGACTAGTCGAGTTCCTCCTCGGAGTTAGAGTTAGATAGCTAGAAGTCTAGTTTACTATCGGAATTAATATCGGAAATGCTCTACGCGTAATTAATACGTATATAACCCTCCCTTTGTTTATAAGTTATTCCTAATAGCTTACTAAGACGTATCTAAGGATGCGTATAGTTGTTAGGTAGAATAGGATCTATAATCGCGGTAGGATCCTCCTCTCGATAGGTATCTAAGGTCGGTAGAGGGTCTATAGAGGTACTAACTTCCTCCTCGGTCGAGGGAGGGCAAGTATGCTCTCTTAATTCGACGATCTTCTTTAGGTTAGCCCGGGGGTGCGAGTACTTCAAGGTAGCACTATTAAGCTCCTAAAGTCGATACGTAGAACTATCGTAAAGGACCTCCTATACCCTATAAGGCCCTTTCTATTTAAAGGCTAGCTTATAGGAGTAACTATATTCTAACTCGGACTAGTATAGGAGAACTATATCGCTAACCTTTAGAGGTTCCTAATTAATAGCATTATAGTTATCGAAATACTACTTAGCCTCTTCGCGAAGGCGACGCTACCGAGTAAGTCCCTCCTTAGTAGTAGTAGTTATCTCCTTAAGAGCCTTAGCCCGTAGGGCAAGAAGATCCGCTCGAGTACGAACAGATCCCTAGTTGTAAACGCTATACGTACGGTAGGACAATTCAATCGGAAGAATAGCGTCTCTTCTAATTATAACCTCTACTAGTATAAGCCTAGTAGTGTCGATAACGGTCGTCCGGTCGACTTAGAGAAGGGCTAGGACGCAGGTAGAGATCGCGACTAATCTATTACTACTATTAGTTAATTTAGACAAGGCATCGATTAGAGACCGATAGCTACGCTTAACGATGCTATTAGCCTATAGATAGTACGGGGAGATACGAACGTTCGCCTTAGTTACCTTATCCTTAGCCGCTTAGTAAACGGGGGTCTATTCGAACTTAGTATCCTTCTTAAGCAAGGCGTATAAGGGCTTATATACTAGGGCAAAGTTCTCGACCTAGATGCGGAAGTAGGAGACTACTCTAAGCTAGGTTCGGATATCCTTCTAACAGGTAGGATCTGGCTAGGATACTATCTTTAGGACCCGTACATTATTAGGATAGCGGCCGTTTTTATTAGTTACAAACCCGACAATGTTTATTCGTTTATATAGGAGCTAAAGCTTCTCCCTATATACCGTTAGATTAGCTCGCTCTAGGTCGTAGAGGACGCTATCGAGGTTCTAGATATATTCGAGAAAGAACCTACGGATACTAGGCTCTACTTCTTTATTATCGTACCTAGTTTTAGGGCCTTTAATACCGATATCGTCGAGGAAAGGTATCGCTATATAGGAGATATAGGCCGCGAGGACTTAGTTTATAATACGAACAAACTAGGCTACTAAGTTAGTTGCCCCTTAGGGGAGGGTAGTTTGTCTATATAGCCTAAGAGGTATCTCGAAACTAGTAAGGTCGCGGCTGTTAGGGTAAAGAGGAATCTAGTCGTAGCCCGAGAAAACGTTAACTAGTAAGGCTATAACACAGTTAGCAAAGGCTTCCGAGAACCTATTAGTCTCTAGAGGAAGGTTAGTATCTCTAATCGTAACTACGTTAAACTTTTACGCAGCGTTAATTAGGCGGTACTTCTTTAGTTCCCTAGGAGCTATCTTCTTCTAAACTAGGAAGTATAGATTACGATACGAGGTATAGGAAGGTTCTAAGGTGCTAGCCTTTACACGCTATCGTATTATATCCTTAACTATACCTCGTAGGCTTAGGTTTAGCTTAAAACCTAGATAGGCCTAAGGCTTATATTCGATTGTTCGGATCTTCTACGGAGGGGCAACCTCCGGGTTGATTCTGCCTAGGTAAGTAAAATCATATACTAATACGGCTTCGCGATTGTATAGAAGCTTATATAGTAGGTTAAGTGCAAGATCCGAAAGCTCTATACTAGGTTTAATCTTCGCAAGCCTCTCCGGTATTAGCCTTAAACCCCTAGGAATAGTAGAGAACTTTTTAGTAATATATCTCTAATCGTACGGACTATCCCTAGGTAGCAATGTTGCTTCCTAATTAAGACACTTCTATCGCTAGTTAGGATTCCCGCTAGGATTAGACCTATCGGTAATATGTACGCTGCCTTTTACGGGCTTAATCTTGTTAGCTACCCTCTTATATAGGGTATATATACTAATCGATTGTCGAACCCGAGCTCTCTCTCTTTGTCGTTAAGCTTAGAGATTAGCGTAACAAAACAGCGCGTAAACCTCTCTAGAAGTTTCCTTAAGTAGATAGGTATATAACTAGTAGTCCTAATTTATAACGCCGGCGAAAACGTTAGATTCGTAATAACACCCCGGGGGTAGCATTAGACTCGCGCTCTAATTAGTTAGTTATTCGGGTAGTCCCGCCTCCGGCGATAATATATCTAGCGACGATATACGAGATAGCATTATTACCTTAACTCGTATAGTAGGCGGTTATTATATTATACTCGCTATCGCCTCGAGCACTCGTCTGTTTAGTATAGAACCTAGAAGCTTGCCTTAACGTACGGAGCGGCGCACTTCTAGATATAACCTATTTAAGCTATACTAACTTATAGCGCAGATTGCCGGTCTTATAACCGCGCTATAGCGTTTCCCGAAGACTGTTTAGAAGTAGCAAGGATGTCCTCGTAGGACTTGTAGCTAGTGTTTCCGATATAACTAGTAAATACGACTCGGTTGCCCTTCTAGTTAGTAATAGTTCCCTTCTAGAAGCTATCGTCGTAGTTGCGCTAGATACCTCGGGTTATACGAGACTATAGTCGACCTAGAATAATTAGCGTATTTAGGTCGGCGGCAATCTAGAAGGTAAAGGAAAAGTATATACCGAAGGCGTCTACTATAATATTATAGCAAGTACTTACTAGCGTAACCTCCCTATTTACTCCCTATATACCGAGGGAAATGTCTCTATTTATTAGTAGCCTAAGTTGTTTAGCCTAACGCTTACTTATAATAAGTAACTCCGAACTATTATTAAGCATTGCTAGTATCTATTGACTATAGCTCCCGATAGTAACTTAAATATAGATAGCGGGAACGACGGCGAAGGAACGGGTAACTGCGGAAAGGTCTATATTATTAGGGATAGAATAAAGTTCCTTAGGTCGAGGAGGTCCTACTCGACCGATCTATTAACTAGTAAATCGGACAGCCTTAATAGAAACTGAAACTAGAGTAGGGTCGGGATTATTACTATTCCCTCGGCCTATCTCCTTAACTCCCTCTTCGTTAGCATTATCGATAGTCTCTTAGTTCTCGTAGGTTACCGATTCGCCTTCTACTAACTCTTAGGCACCTAAAAACTTAGGAAGGAACTATAAGGAAGAGACGTCGATATAGTCTTCCTATCCCTATTTTCGTCGGAGGGTAGCGAGATCTTTTATAAAGGTAGCATCGTTAGGGATTCGGCTCTAGAACAGGTTAGTAGGCAAACCGTACGCTAGTAGCTCTCCTATAGATACATTAGACTTAAGGTCTAGGAACTATAAAGCCTAGAAGAGAGCGTTTGCCTTTGTATCTAAGGAGTTAGCTAGGCTAGTACTATACTTTTTTATATACCTATTAAAGCGAAAGCTCTTTAGGTCGGATAACTTCCGCTTATAGGCAGGTAGGTTAGCTAGCCCTAGGGTACTACTAATGTCGGTAGCAATATCTTCTATATCGACCTCTAGAGTCTCTAGGACGACTAGGCTTTCTATAGGTAGGGTACTAGGTACGGTGCTAGATCGGGTAGCGCGGTCTATAGCTATCTAGAGAGTCTTAGTCTTAGCGGTTAACTCTCGCTATTGTTTAGCCTTATCGGCCGCCTTGTTCTTTAGTACCCTAGTAGGGGTAGCCGCACTAGGGCGAGTAGGGTTTTGCGGGCTCTTGCCCTTGTTCTAGGACTAGGTTTAGGACCTTATAGCAGCGTAAACATCTATACTGTTCTTAGTAACCGCGTAAATATTAGTAACTACGTCCGGGTCCTAAGAAACAAAGTTAACCTTAACGGGCTCGGTAGTACCGTTACTGCTTCGCTCCTTAACCTGTTTAGCCCTAACCTTCTAAGTTTCTCGTTTAGTAATAGCGGCGAGGGTACTATTACTAGTCTCCTTAAACTCGATTTTTCCGCTATACTTCCTTTCTAGAAGGGCTTTTAGTTAAGGCAGTTTTAGGGCTCTTCGATCCTATTCGAAGTCGATCTTATCGTTAGTGTCTATATAGTAGAATCGGCTATTTACTTGCTTAACGAGCTTCCTATTAAGAAGCTCTTTCTAGATAGGGCAAGACGATTAGATATGTTTAAAACTACTATATATCTAGCACTTGCTATCTAAGTTAGAATAGATCTTCCGTATAGCGTAGACATCTACTAAAGGGGCTTTAGGATAGTTAGGATCTAAAACCTAGTAGACTAGTAGTATATCGCCTAGTATAGTAGCATTAATAACTTCCCTAACTAGCTATAGTGCTTTCGCATTTAGGTTAAGTCGGGATAGGGATTTAGCTAAGTCCGCAACGTCTTATAAGTGTTTAGTAATAGTAGGCGTTACGGTCTTAGGACTACTTTGCGATTTAGGAAGGAATTTAGGTCCCTTGCTTCCTAAGGCTTCTTTCCTAACCTGCGCTAGGTTATTCCGGTCTTTGCTATAGATAAACTTCCTCGTATCGGCCGTACTATTAATATCGGCCTTAATATACACTAGGACCTCTTTATATTTCCTAAAGCTCTTAGGATCGGCCTCGCTTAGCTTATAGCGACGGAAGATACGCTAAGCTATAGGCTACGGCAATCCCTAGAGGAGTAGCCTCGTCCGCTAAGAGTTTTCGAGGTTACTCTATTCGATGCCGTCCGCTAACTCGACAAATTTACGGATATACCCCTTTAGGTCGTTATCCTTAGTACGTCTTACTAAGCAGAGGGCCTCGAGCTACGCGCGACTACCTTTAATACGACGGCTATCGCGCTCTCGATACTCCCTTAGAAAGGCTAACTTAAAGGTCTCCTAGTTAGTATTAGACTTGTCGTCCTTCTCTAGGTAGCTAACTAGGGTTCTAAGGGTTCGGTAAAGCTTAGTAGCAGTAGTCCTCGTAAGGGACCGGATCTTATACTAGTTAGACTCCCTATCGAGCTTATACTTAATTAAGCCTTCCTTAAAACGCTCTATATATACTATAGCGTTCTACCCTTCGAATAAGGGATTTGTACTGCTCCCTAGTTCTAGCGGGCGACGTTTGTTTTAACGGAGAAGCTTAGTTTGCTTCTCTATTATCTTTATAAGGATAGTATAGAGCGCCTCTAGCGTAGAGGGCGTAGGAGGCTTACTTATATTAACTAGTCGCCGCCTAATTTCTTCGTTAATAGGATTAGGGGCGTTCTCGGATTTAGAAGATTCCGCTAATTCTTAATACTCGTTTTCGCTAGAGCTAGAGCTTATTCGATTGTTATAAAACGATTGAAATAAAATACTATATAAAATAAATGCTATATAAAGGTGTTTTTAGTATACTTTAGTTTATTTGGTTTGTTGTAATGTTGCTGCGCGAGAAAATAGTATATTAGGCTGTTTCTCCTAATGCTACCCCTAGGGTATTATTAGGATTTAGCCTCCTAGGGGTCGCCTAACTGCCTCTAGGAGCTTAGTTTAGTAAATTTCGGACAAAAGCCGCTCGGAGGAAGAGACTGCAATCTCTGTTTATACCTAGATCCTAGAAACTAGCTCGTATCTCCTTTACCTAGGCGAGGGGGCGGTAGCCTTCTTTTTCTAGTAGAAGGCTAAGTACTATCTAAGCGAGGCTACGAATCCGGGAACGCCCTACCCGATTAATAGGGGACTCCCCGGCTATCCGACCTACAATCTGTATTTACTATTAATTTGATAGTCTTAGTAAACTAAGTAAGGCCGATAGGTAATTAGTCTATCTCCTCCTTAGGCGGGCGGTAGCTTATCTCGAGCAAGCGGTACTAAATAGGTCTTCGACCCGAAGCCGAGTCCTTAGAAGCTAGCTATAGTCGCAGACTAGGCCCTAAGCTATAATAGTCCTAAGGGTTTGTAGCTTTTCGGGGTTAAAGCGATGCCCTCGTTAAGAGGTTTCTCTGCTTGTCGTAATAGCCCCTTAAGATACTTCGGTATCGTCTGTATTATAGGCTCTTATCGTGCCCTCGCTCTAGTTATAGCTATTCGTGCCCTAGGACTACCTTCGATATACCCGAACCTATTAGATATAAAGAGATAGCCCTACCTTCGGCTCTAATAAAGGACGGAAACTAATACTACTACTACTACTACTAGTAGTAATAGTATAGGCTACTAAGGGTAATATAACCTATAGCAATATAGGCAGCTATGTTTAGCATAATAGGATAATAAGACGGTTGCTTAGGCTAATAACTAGAGCCCTACAATATAGGTATTATAGAAGTGTAATATAAACAATGTACTATACGAGGTTAGTGCTCTATCTACGATATAGAAGGAGGCCTCTTATATAGGCTCAAAACTCAGCCTAGGTATATAGGGCCGGTTACTAGCTAATACTAGGCAGGATTAACCCGGAGGTTGCCCCTCTATAGAAGATCCGAACAATCGAATATAAGCCTTAGGCCTACCTAGGTTTCAAGCTAAATCTAAGCCTACGAGGTATAGTTAAGGATATAATACGATAGCGTGTAAAGGCTAGCACCTTAGAACCTTCCTATGCCTCGTATCGCAATCTATACTTCCTAGTTTAGAAGAAGACAGCTCCTAGGGAACTAAAGAAGTACCGTCTAATTAACGCTATATAAAAGTTTAACGCAGTTACGATTAGAGATGCTAACCTTCCTCCGGAGACTAATAGGTTCTCGGAAGCCTTTACTAACTGTATTGTAGCCTTACTAGTTAACGTTTTCTCGGGCTACGACTAGATTCCTCTTTACCCTAATAGCCGCGACCTTACTAGTTTCGAGACACCTCTTAGGCTATATAGACAAACTACCCTCCCCTAAGGGGCAACTAACTTAGTAGCCTAGTTTGTTCGTATTATAAACTAAGTCCTCGCGGCCTATATCTCCTATATAGCGATGCCTTTCCTCGACGACATCGGTATTAAAGGCCCTAAAACTAGGTACGATAATAAAGAAGTAGAGCCTAGCATCCGTAGGTTCTTTCTCGAATATATCTAGAACCTCGATAGCGTCCTCTGCGACCTAGAGCGAGCTAATCTAACGGTATATAGGGAGAAGCTTTAGCTCCTATATAAACGAATAAACATTGTCGGGTTTGTAACCGATAAAAACGGCCGCTATCCTAATAATATACGGGTCCTAAAGATAGTATCCTAGCTAGATCCTACCTATTAGAAGGATATCCGAACCTAGCTTAGAGTAGTCTCCTACTTCTACATCTAGGTCGAGAACTTTGCTTTAGTATATAAGCCCTTATACGCCTTGCTTAAGAAGGATACTAAGTTCGAATAGACCCTAGTTTACTAAGCGGCTAAGGACAAGGTAACTAAGGCACTCGTTAGCGTACCTATACTTACGTCTATTAACTACTTAGAGGGAGCGGGTTTAATTATTATTACTATCGACTCGAGCGGGGAAGGCTATAGCGAGATACGAATATAGTATAACTATAAGAAGCTATCCTTACGTTATCCTATTAGGTACGACTCCGGGCTATAGAAACCAATCGAGGCCCGATACGATGCTAGTAAGCGAGAATGCCTTAGAGTCTATAAGGCTCTAAAGAAGTTCTAGCTATAGCTCTTTAGTGTATTCTTTCGTCTAGAAATCGATACTTAGACGCTAGTCTATTAGCTTAACCGTATAGCCTCCGACCTACCTAACTCTGCGATAGCTCGGTAGGTTGCCTAGATCTATTTGTTTAACTTCGACGTCTTCTATGTTCCTAGGAAGAAGCATACTAGACCGGATAGCCTTTCTAGGAGGCCTGCTATAGAAGAGGATATTGCCGAAATAATAGAAGAAGAAGATGTCGACGCGGTTATTAACCGTACCTTCTTCGCTACCTTCTATATTAATACTATACTAGCGATCGCTAGGCCTGCTACTAACGACTAACCTAGCAACTAACCTAGTAACTAGTCCGACGAGAACCCTACTACTAACGATAACGACTAGGCTAAAGCTAAGGCGGATAAACTAGAGAGGGATAATATCCTTAATAGGGTCTACTCCGACGACTCCTATTATATCGCCTACTTCCTAACCTATACGAAGAAAGCGCCTAGCCTATCTAAGAGTTAATACTATCGGATTATTTGCTATTCTCGACGGTTCCTAGTTAAAGATCGAATCCTTTAGCGATAAGCGATAGTTAATGCACCTCTCTAGCGTATTATTAACGACCTAGCAGCCTAATAAGAGATCCTTCGTTCCGTTTACGATAAGCTCGGCTACCGGGCGGCGGAGGGCACCTTCGATGTCCTTCGTCGGCGCTACTAGTAGGACGGCGTATAGGCTAATGTCTCCCGCTACTATAAGAGCTATCCTAAGTGCAATTTTAGGAATAGCTACCGACGTCTAGGAGAGCTACGTATTCCTGCTACCTAATTAGTCGGAGAGCGATAGTATAGCGATAGGGTCTATCTTAGTCGTAATAGTAGCTTATATATTATTCGAGAGGGTCTTTCTCGATAGCCGGAGGCCTATTATTTCTATAAGGGCTACGGCGCTATTAATGCTCGTAATATAGCTACCTTCCTATTTAAAGATCTATTTTGCCGCTAGGGAACACCTTACGAGATTATCTTAGATAACGCTACGAACAATATAGCTAAAGAAGTTTAAGTACTACTTGTTTTATATAGGGCGAAAAACGTTCGTATCTCCCCGTACTATCCCTAGTCGAATGCTATTACTAAACGTAGTTATCGGTCTTTAATTAATACCTTGTCTAAGATAACTAATAGAGGGGATAGGTTAGTTCCTATATCTACCCGGGTCCTAGCCCTTCTCTAGGCGGATCGAACTACTATTATTAATACGACTAGACTTACGCTAGTAGAGCTTATAATTGGGAGGGACGCCGTTCTTCCTATTAAGTTGTCCTATCGTACGTATAGCGTTTACGATTAGGGGTCTGTTCGCACTAGGGTAGATCTTCTTACCCTACGGGCTAAGGCTCTTAAGGATATAACTGCGACTTCTTAAGAGGGTCTTGCTCGACAACGGCGCCTTCGTAAAGAGGCTAAGCAGTATTTTAATAACTATAATGCTATTAATTAGGAGCCTCTAAAGGTTAGCGATATAGTTCTCCTATACCGGTCCGAGTTAGAATATAGTTACTTCTATAAGCTAGCCTTTAAATAGAAAGGGCCTTATAGGGTATAGCAGGTCCTTTACGATAGTTCTACGTATCGACTTTAGGAACTTAATAGTGCTACCTTAAAGCACTCGTACCCCCGGGCTAACCTAAAGAAGATCGTCGAATTAAGAGAGCCTATCCGCCCTCCCCCGACCGAGAAGGAAGTTAATACCTCTATAGACTCTCTACCGACCTTAGATACCTATCGAGAGGAGGATCCTACCGCGATTATAGATCCTGTTCTACCTAACAACTATACGTATCCCTAGATACGTCTTAGTAAGCTATTAGGAATAACTTATAAACAAAGGGAGGGTTATATACGTATTAATTGCGCGTAGAGCATTTCCGATATTAATTCCGATAGTAAACTAGACTTCTAGCTATCTAACTCTAACTCCGAGGAGGAACTCGACTAGTCTAGCGACGAAGACCGCCTAGAATTATAGCTAGATCCCGAGACTAAATAATTGCTTACTCTTCCTTACCTCTACCTACCTCTACTGCGTTACTTCCTTGCTCTTATTAATCGTTCTCCGCGCTATTAATGCAGTACTGCCCTATACCTTTAGTCCTTACCTATTATCTGTTCCTACTAATGTTTATACTCTCGTTTATTGCTCTTAGTTTATCTTGTTATTGTCTTTTGCTTTTGCCTTTACCTTCGATTAATGTTGCTATAACTTTATTCCTTCGCTCTTGTTTCCTTAGATAGAACTGTACGAGGCGTGTTTTCCTAATAATACCCTAGGGGTAGCATTAGGAAGATAGCCGAACCTAACCCCTCTACCCTTCTAGGACTACTTCCCTCTAGCTTCTTAGACTCTAGCGACTACCCTTAGGTATTAACTATAATAGGATACTCTACTAGAGACTGTTCCTACCCTAATTAGTACTAGTTACGCAAGACAACTAAGAAAGGGAGGTTCCCTGTCCCTCTCCCTTCCTATCGCTTAGATAGATATAGTAACCTAGGCCTATAGCCTCTAAGAATAGGGACCTTAGGCTATTAAGCTTAGTATTTAGAAGGAGGAAGAAGGTAAACGTACGGACTACCTTTACGTACTTGCTAATATAAAAGGTAATGCTATATCTATAACGGTAGTGCTATAGGCTAATATACTAACGAATTAGCTACGCTAGGCCTAGGCGACTTGCTCCTCGTTACCGAGTATCTCTAGAGAAAAGCTAATACTACCCCGGGGGTATTATTAGTCCCGCTAGCCTTACTACTATAGATTTCTGCTAGGGACTTGAACTAACTAGTTACATTTCGAGCGCGCGAGAGTCTACGATAGCTAAAGGTTACTAAAGGCGCTTAGTCGCTACTAGTAATTAGCTAGATTAATTGTTAAACTTTAGCCTACCCTAATAATAAAGAAGTCTCGTATATAGCTTTACTTTTATATATAGCCGTTATCCGTTTGCTTTACTAGCGCGGAATATACGGACTACGTTACCTTCGTATACTATTTAAAGCGAGCTTCCTAAGCGTTTTCTTCTACTCGAATACTAACTAACTCGCTACCGCCTAACCGCCCCCCCTTCTATCTAAGCCCTTTAATTATTATTATTAAACAACGAACACGTTTTACAAACTCGTTTCTAACCCGCTTCCGCTTCGGTCGACTAGATATCTTCCGGCGCCCCGAACCTACTAGGCGCTAGTAGTAGTAGCGACCTACCTATTCCTATTAACCTAAGCCTAGCCGCCCTAGTTCTAATTAAAGCCTTAGCCGGTAGCGCCTTAGCTGCTATAACTAGTCTCGAGTACTGCTTCTAGATTGTTACCGCCCTCGAAGACCTATAAGAGAAGATTAAGAACGCTCGTACCCTACTACGCGTTATTAATAGGAACATCGAGAAGGCTACTATCTTAATTGCGTATAGTATAAACAACCTACGTTAGTCTATCGGTAAGCGTATCTTTAAGCGCGACGTTCTTAACGATATAGATATTAAATAAGCCTTTCCTATCGTCTATAGCCTCGAGATAGCCGGTACCTAGATCCGCTTACGCTTTAAGACCCTCGATTAGGCCTTCGAATATTAGGGAGGTCCGAGTAGTCTTCCTAAGAGCCTTATTAACTTCGCCTATAGTAGATAAGAGCGTACTAAGTAGGTCTCTTCGTTCGTTAATAAGTATCTAGTCCGTCGCTAAGGCGCCGAGTACCTTTCCCGTACTATAATCTATCGTATATCTACCGCTAGCAAGAAGGTAGGTAAGTAGTCGCTTAACTTGTCCTTTGCACTTAACGACTTTATAATAGCCTACTAGAAGCGGTATAACGATACGATTGTCTAGGTCGATCTTAACGCCTAGACTACTAAGGATCTACTAAAAGAGAAGGGTTGTCGTATTAATAGTATAGGCTTTATTATTAAAGGTTAAGAGGCTCCTATCGTTAATATTCTTAAACGTAAGGTTCTTCGGCTAGAAACGGAGGCCGATACTACTACTAGTCTTGCGCTCGCTATAGAGATATAGGCTAAAGATCGTCGCTCGACCCGTAACCGCAAGGTCCCTTAGGTAGTTAAAGACGAGCGCGCTAAGGCCGAAGTAGCGCGTTAGAAGGCACTATACGCTCGCTAGGCCTTCCGTAAGGCTACTAAGAAGTATAGCGCTCCTTCTAGTACTAGTACTAGTACTAGTACTAGTGCTAATACTAACTATAGTAACTCGGATGTTAATATGCTAGATACGCCGCTAGAAGACGTATTCTCCGAAGGCTCCTTTAGTAAGCGTAGGGATAGAGGCCTCTCGCCGGCCCTATTAACTAAGAATATCTATAGGTCTTGCAAGGGCGACTCTATTGCGCACCTTATTACTAAGATCGATATAGTTACTAAGGCCGATATAGGCAAAGCGCCTACCGCCCTATCTATTTATTAACAACTCGACGACCTTAGCAAGCTAGGTAAAGAGCGGTTTACTGTATATACTAACTATATTAAGAAGGCCGCTAAGGTTTATAGTCTCTATACTAGTACTAAGACGAATGTTCTAGTTAGTCGCTTACAAAGACCAATAACGGCTATACAAGCAGAGGAAGTCGTTTCGGCCATGTTGACAGAAGACGCAGAGATGCTGAGACGAGTCAAACTGTAGAGAGGACTTACACGGTTCAAGTATGCACAGCTGCGTAGGGCGGTAAGGCGCATAGCAAACGCAAATTGCAGCCATGCAGCCTTTCGTTGATGCAACATCGTGCACTGCAGATGCTGCCGAATATGAGGCGCCCAATTGATCACATCAGGCCCAGGAACTTACCTCTGCTGAGGCAATCTGTGTTACAGTGGAAATGCTTTGTCCGGTTTTGAAGACGTTGTGTTGTATCCTGGACCATGCACGATCTGCCACATTCATGGTTACTTTGTTACTTTGAGAACCTGCTCCGTTCTTTTTTGTTAAGCGCCTGTGAAACCACAAAGGAGCTGAATCCGGGGCGACCGGTGAAGTCTCAACCACTTGGGGCTGCAGGTTCCCCGCTCCGTGCCGTGTGTAGAAGTGCATGTGCATCCGTGGCTGTGCGCAACCAATAGTTCTAATGAGAATCAAATGCTCCGTGAAGTCGTCAGCTGGTCGATTGGATGGCCCCTAACTTAGCCGATTGTCCACCTGCTGCAAGTACGCATGAGCTTGGGTCATTCCGGGCGACAGACATGGACGATGGCTTTGTATAAAGGATGAGCAATTGTATCTCATGGTAGCCACTGATGAAGGGATCGAAGGCATTGTTGCTGCACAAATCAACGACATGTTGGTCGTTGCGAACTGGACAGTTCGCAGTGCGCAGCGCTCACGGAGCTTGGACTTTTCGTGTTCGGTCAAGGACGCAGAGGGCGGTGCCTCTATTGCCTTCGGCCCGCTCTCTGTATGCCTCGTGGCGTAAGGCAACGGGGTCCGCAGTCATCAAAAGTGTCATAGGCTCCTAGCCTACAAGCTTGTAAGCTCGTCAGGCCCTGAATACTTCGCTCGTCTTATTTTATATCAGCGAGTTGGAATAAGAAAGCTCAGTCCCACGTCTCATCATAGCAAGGATCCCACGAGTGCTACAAAATCCGCTATGGTCTTGCCACTGAACGAAGAAACGGCAGGTATCGGCAGTCTTGTCGGCTTCAGCGCTAGCTTATTCAAGGCTTGCGTCCAAGGCCTAATCCTTCTCAGCAAAGCCCGCAATCATGAACGTGCTGCATCTGGGTTTAGCCTCATGGTTGATATCGAGCTTTACAAGCTTCACATCTGGGGAGATGAGGTAGGGGTGGCGCGGAACGACCCAACACTGATGGTAGATGCTCGGCAAGCAGAGCGTGTGCCCAGGGTCTTGGATCGTCTCCATGAGCTTATCACAGATCTGGGGAAGATCAAAGCAGTCTACGGCTTGGAACTCGAAGAAGCCGAAGGCCAGCCACTCAGCCAGGACGAGGCCGAATCTGCGTTTCGTCGCCTACGGATACAGGCTGAAATCGGCAGCCAGACCTGGCTATTGAACACTCTCCAACAAACAGTGGTGCCATGGAAGGTGCTTCAGTGGGTGACGTTCAACGAACTCAAAGCGCCCGTATTGCTTGACTCGATCCGAAGTCTGGTTCGCAGATTGCAGCAGGTTCTTGACCCGTGTCGTCAGAGAAAGTTCGCGAAGGCTGTGGACGTGATCTTGCGCAGCACGGTGCTGAATACTGTCAATGAACAGGATCTTGAGTTGATTGGTCTGCTTGGTGAAGCAGCGCCAGCAGAGGGCAGAGTAGCTGCAGCTGCGAGATTGAAGAAGCAAGGCTTACTTTTGGGTATCGTGGACAATCGATTGCCACCGACTGCAAGCAGATCCAGGACGGACAGTCTACTTCCATTACCTCAGCGAAAGCCATCATATCCCCCCATAAGCCAGTTGTATTCCTATAAGGACCTCGCACGAAAACGACTTCGTCCCGAGCGCCTGCAGTACGACGATTGCGATGTGTCCAAGAACCGTTTTCTGGCACACTATGCAAATGCTCCGGTGCTTGTCGAAAAGAGAAGCGAGACGGGAATCGACAAAGAATTCCAAAGAGATCGAGTGATCAAGGTTGCAAATTTCCTTGCAGACCTTGATTCGTCTTTTCATGGCCTGCCTTGCCGAGGTTATGTCAGTTTTCTTGACCAATTTGCCTACGTTTTCGACCTCCAAGGAGTGTTGAAACCATCTCCAGCACCATCAATTCCACAAAGGACATCATACAGGTCGCTTCGAAGCCTTTTGGACAGTGCGAGCTCGCCATCCCTGAACCTTCGAGTAGATTTCGCTGTCCGGCTCTTGGAGACCTTGCTGCAGCTGCACACTTCAGGCTGGCTGCACAAAGAGTTCAGGTCGGACAATGTGCTGTTTTTTCGAGACTCTGCTGAAGATCCTGGCGCTTTTCTGCGCTCCAAATTGCGCGTTACAGGCTACGCTCATGCACGCCTTGATCGCCCTACCGAGCCCACGGAGCCTTTGCAATCGGAGCTTGAGGCGGATCTCTATCGCCATCCAGCTTGTCTGCGTCAACACCGAGAGTCTTTCCAACGCGCGTTTGACATGTTCAGCGTCGGATGCGTGCTGATTGAGCTGGGTCTTTGGCGAAGTCTTTCATCGCTATGCTGCACTCTGGCTCCGAAGACGACGAAAACCCAGCCTGTCGACTACATGAGGCTTAGGAATAAGCACCTATTTGCTACTAGCAACCAGTCGAAGGTCGTTGTTGGCGAGGTAGTGCTCCAACAGCTGAATGCAGCTGCCGGACGGAGGTATGCAGAGGTGGTTAAGAGCTTGTTGCAATCGTGGGCGAATCCTGCTGATTTGCTCGAAGTGGAGGTGGACTGCCTGGCAAAACTGAAAACTATGGCTGATGTGCTTGAGTACGACTAGACTGTCGTCCAACCATAGTTGTTGCTTCTCCATAGGAAAGACTATAATTGCATTAGCGAATACAGCTACGCGTAGTGAGCTGCGGAGATTGGAGTAGTAAACAGGGATTAAATTTAATCGCGCACAATTTGCCGAGGGCTACCGAAAGTTCATTAGTTGGAGTAGTTAACTACTCTAAGCCCTACTTACTACTCGTACGACCGGATTTACTATACCTATATCGTAGTTTACTACTCGACGCTACGATTTACTATATAACTATCCTATTTACTACTCGCCTATCCCTACCTAAAACAATATCGTATATACTAGTTTAAATACTAGTACAAACACTACCAACTAGTAACTATACTAGTTCTAAGCTTTTAACTAGTTTTAGTTTTTATACTTAGGTCTAACGAGTTAGAGAGATAGCGGTATAATACTAAGCACTACTTAAACTATAATTAGAAGGTAGAGATCCGTTAATAGAATTTACTACTAATCCGAAATAAATTACTTCTAAACATACCCTAGCGGATAATAAAGAAGAGAAAGAATTTATAACTAAAGAATACGAAAATAACTACCTTTTTCCGGAGGCTTAGATAGACTTACTAAAGAATACTTTATATTAACGAAGGCTAGCGACGCTTTAGTACCGCCCTAGGAACTAGAGAAGGAAAGGATAAATACTAGGGCTAAGAGATTACTAGTTAATAAACTAGATATCTAACTAGTTATAGAAACTAAAGACGCGTATACTCGAGGTTTATATATACTAGCTAGGCGGGTACCGCTACTCGTAAGTTAACTAGTACTAAATTATAATAGTTATACTCGACGCTACTTACGACTAGGGGGAACCGTAGTTTATTAACGAAATATATATAATACTACTATACGATACCGTAGTATCTCTATACTTATAACAACTGTAACGGTTTTACCTATATCCTAAATATTAAAGGAATCTCCGATCTTACGCTGTTCTAAGATCCTTAAGCGCCGAAAATACTATTCTATCCCTTTATAAGTTCTATATACTAAACTAGTCTTGTTACTAGTAGTAGCACTATCTTATAGACTAGTATTCTTACTAGTATTAGACGTAATATACGCGGTCTCGTTAGGGATAGGCCTACGGTATATAACGTAATAAGATTCGTTATCTTAGTAATACGGTATAAGGCAAGCGTTAGAAATAGCAATACGGCGATATAGTATATTATTAATATACCCTAAAAGAAATTTAGGGCGTTCCTTATTACGCGGTAATAAAGGAGATCTAGGAATTTATAGTTTAAAATAGTTACTATATAGAAACCGATATTCCTAAACCCCGAGTTTAAAAGTTATTTAAGTAGGTAGACTACCTACGCTACTAGTTTAAGAACTAGCTATCTAACTAGTATTAGGCTTACGAGTATAGCGAAGAGTTTCTTTATAAAGTAAAAAACGATTAGCTATAATCTACGTATTATAGCCTAAGGGAAGTAACGCGTACGTAGATACTAGATATAAGACTTAGTAGGTTTAATAGGGAGCTAAGTCTATCTACGTAAATCCGAATAGTTTTATATAGTACGCTAAGCGCTAAGCGCTAAGCGGTAGGTTAGTATCGTATAGGCCTAACGCCTAAGGCTAGTATCGTTTACCTAGGGCGTAGTCCTTTATTATAGATCTAACTTAACCTCGAAGCGATCGTATAGCGCGGTATATATTTCCTCGAGATATGCCTCCGGCCTCGTCGATAAGTACTTAAGTAGGTAGATTTCTATCTCCTTTATAATCTTCCTCTTATAACTTAACTTAAACTGCTTAGATAAGAATACCTTACCGAAAAGATTATAGTAGTACTTCTATCGATATACGGTTAACTAGCTCGTACCTATCTTTAATACGATATTAATTACCTTATAACCGCTATTAAAATATGTTTTAGCGAGTCGAGCGGTATAGTTAGGTAAAGGCGTAAAAAGGGCGTAGACGGCGTAGAAGAGCTAGAATAACAATAATAACACCTTAGACTATATATTTAACGGCTATACTATTAATATAGACACTATTTTAAGCGTAGTATTATAATAGGTCGAGAGGAGGACGAAATGCCCGATTTACTAGTAAAAAGTTGGTAGGGTCCCTCTAGTTCTTAGTATTCTTAACCTTCCGGAAAAGCATAGTATACGGACCTTATAGCGCCTAGCTTAAGCTACGAGAATATAAATGCAACCTATCGACAAGCCTTAAAACTCAATATTAGAGATGTTATAAACGACTCTATAACTAGTTCGCGCGAAATTATAGATCCTTATTCTCTAATGTTTTCCTATCTAGCTTAGATCGGGAAGGAACTACTACTCTCCTTCGGCGAAAGGCCCTATCTACGTCCGCAATACGACCTTAATACTATAGCGGCGACAATTACTACTACTAGGTTTCTCGGGTTATATAAGAATGCTAAGTATAGCAGAGCCTTAGCACCTCCCTATATATTTTACTAGGTAGAATGCTCCTCTTATACTTCTATAGACCTTATATCGAATCCTTATACCGCCTAAAGATAATTGTTATATAGCTGCCGCCCGAGCTAGTAGATACGGTGTTTCTTTATAGCGCTAGTTACCTCTTAAAGTAGTATTTCGAGATGCCGCGAGGTTAGTTAACTGCCGAAGACGCGTAGTAGCGTACGAGTCGATCGAGGAAGCTAGTCGATAAGGAGTTACCGGCGTATAAGGATGCTATAGATAGGCGCGAGTCGCTGCCTAAGAAGGGCTCGAGAGTAAAGAAGGGCGCGAAGAAGAAGATAGCGGCGTAGGCGCTTCGAGAGTTAATAGACTCGCCCGTAAACGATAGCAATACTTACCGGCGCTTCGCGTAGTAGTAGAAGGATAATAAGGACGCCTCGACGGCTATAGAAGTTAATATAACTAGACAAGTTAATAAAGGCGAGTTAACGCGAATAGGCGAGTCTTTACCTAGAAAGAAGCAGTTAGCAGCGCTACGGCTATAGCAACGTAAAATTAATAGTATTTAGATAAATAAAGATAATATAGAGACCGAGTCTAGCGATAAGCGTAACGTCTTCTAATATAAGCAAACCTAGCGCCTTTTTACTAGTAAAACCCTCGTCTTATCGTTTAACGAAGATCGCACTAGCTAGTCTACTCGCTTCGGTAATAATACTTATCGCTAGGCCGTCGACGAGGCGTAGAAGAAGGGGATGTTTATTAGTAACCGCTTTATCGTTGCTACTACGAAGATAGTAACGAAGAAGTACGAGTTTAGAGAGAATTTCAACTTAGGTAGGTAACTGCTTATATAATAAGACGATTAGCTAATATCTCTCGTAGCGGATACGTACGAGAAGGGCCTTAAAGCCGCATTTGAGTATAGAAACGACTCGAAGAATGTTAGCTCTATCCGTATAGATATAGAGTTCTTTACTACTACTAAAGACTTACCTCCTATTACTCCGCTAAAATCTAAGTTAAAGCTAAACGACTAGTAACTTATCGAGAGTAACGCTTTTATTGCTAAGAAGCGTACGACTAGAGGTAATAGAATAGCTAAGATTAAAGCTAACAATATATGCCTTATAGTAGGCTATCCTAATATTAACAAATAGTGCTATCTTCCGCCTTACTTGCTAGATACCTAGAGGCATTATCTATAGCTTAGTAACTACTCTTTTAAGCTCTAGAGCGAAGCCTATATCGCTAGCGAAGAAGGCGTTACATTAAAGAACCCTCCGTAGAAGGCTATCGATTAGATAAAGTTGTTTACTAAGAACAAACGAGACAAGCCGAAGAAGGAGCCTACTTTGCTATAGCTACCTAATCTATATACTCCTTATCGAGATCGAGGCGTACCTACTATACCTCCGGTTAATTACTTAAAGCTTCTCGAGACAGTATTTAGCCTTGCTACTAGCTTTACTAATTAATAGTTATAGCTAGGTTTAGCAACTTTAGCTTTAGCTTCTTAGTCTTAGTAAGAGTTACCTATTCTAACTCGCGTTACTACTATATTTAGTACGCCGCTACGAAGTCTTCTACGACAGTTCTTTAAGTAGGTAGCAAAGCAACTAGAATAGTTAGAAGCGGAAGACAATAAGCAGCTTATAAAGATAGAAGATTACTTTATAAAGGAACGATATAACTATAATTAGATCTATGCTCTATCGATAAAGGAATAGAAGGCGCTTAGCTTCTTTAAAGGCGACTATAGCTCTATAAGAGACAGCCTAAAGCGCTTTTAGAAGCAGAAATTAGCTAAGAGAAGCGGTTAGCTTATAAGGCGATTACGACATTTATAATAGAGAAACGGCTGCTTTAATTAGGCGAGATTAAAGGATAGTTTGTTAGCAAATTAATGACTTAACGGCCTAATTTATCCTCCGTTAGATATGCTATAATCGCTCTCGTTACTATCGAGATCTCCGCCGAGATTTCCGCAACTACGTAGTATATACAAAGCGGGACTATCCGCTTTACGCTTAGCAGCCTCTCTAACATTCTCGTACTACTATATTACAATAATATTATATAAAAATTGATATAGAGCTTTAGATATATATTCTTAAGGAGCTTGTTAATTTTTGTAATATATTATAGACGTAGTATAGTGCTATTAAAGGACGGAAACTAATACTACTACTACTACTAGCAGTAATAGTATAGGCAACCGAGGGTAACATAACCTATAGCAAAATAGGCAGCTATATTTAGCATAATAGGATA